ATTGTGGGATTGTAGGAGCAATCAGTCAATAAGGCACTGGGGTAAGAGAAGGAAACTGTGGACGGGCTCTCAAGAAAAGCCTTAGTGGGGTAGAAATGGAAGGACTACATGGGTAACTCACTGCAGGACAGCTTTAGTATGCTTAAATAGATAGCTTAGTAAAGTTGTCAGGCTTGTAACTGTCATTTTTAGGATTGAGTTGAGGTCACCTTTTCTTAGGTCTCCTGAAAAGCCTGGGAAGAACTCTTAAATGATCATGCTTCTTAATGCAGCCTCATTTCTGCTTTTGCTTTCAGACTTCCACAGCATTTTAGAAGTAGAACTGGTTGTGACAAACTTATTCTCTATATTCTTCACAGCACAAGGCGGGATCAAAAGCACAAGAGTGTTTTACCTAGCAGTCTTTGAAAAGCCTTTAAAACACACATACACAAGTCTGTGTGCCCTGATGGGATGAGTGCTGAAGGAGCTGGCTGATAACATCTCAAGGCCACTCTAAACCGTAAACAGTCATGGCAACCGGGAGAGGTGTCTGAGGACCGGAATAAAGCAAATGCCATTTGTATCTTCAAAAAGGTCAGGAAGGAGGACCCAAGGAAGTACAGGCTGGTCAGCCTCACATCCATCCCTGTGAAGGAACAACTCATCCTGGAAACCACTTCCAGGCACATGAAGGACAAGAAGGTGATTGGGAGTAGACAGCAATGATTCACCAAGGCAAGATCATGCTTCACCAACATGATGATGTTCTACAATGAAATGACTGACTTGGTAGACAAGGGGAGAGCAATGGATATTGTCTACCTTGACTTCAGTAATGCTTTTGACACTGTTCCCCATAAAATCCTCATAGAGAAGCTGATAAATGAGAAGTCTGGATGAAGAGACTGAAAACTGGCTGAATGGCTGGGCCCAGAGAGTGATGAGCAGTGGTATAAATTCTAGTTGGAGGCCAGTAATGAGCAATGTACCCCAGGGGTCAATACTGGGGCCAGTCCTGTTCAATGTCTTCATTAATGTTCTGGATGATGCGGCAGAGTGCATCCTCATCAAGTTTGCTGATGACAGAAAATTGGGAAGAGCGGCTGATACACCAGAGGGTCTTGCCATGCAAAGGGACCTCAACAGGCTGGTGAAATGGATTGACAGGAACCTCATGCAACTGAATAAAGGTAAGTGCAAAGTCTTGCATGCATGGGGAACAACCCCAGGCACCAGTACATGCTGGGTGCTGACTGGCTGGAAAGCAGCTCTGCAGATAAGGACCTGGAGGGTCCTGGTGGACACCAAGTTGGATATAAGCCAACAACATGCCCTCACTGTAAAGAAGGCCAGTGGTAAACTGAGCTGCATGAGGAGTGTGTCCGCAGGTTGGGGGAAGTGATCGTTCCCCTCTACTCAGCACTGGTGAGGCCACACCTGGAGTACCGTGTCCAGTTCCGGGCTCCCCAGTACAGGGGAGAGATGGACATACTGGAGAGACTCCAGTGAAAGTCCACTAAGGTGGTGAAGGGTCTGGAACATCTCTCATATTATGAAAGGCTGACAGAGCTGGGACTGTTCATCCTAGAGAAGAAAAGGCTCAGAGGGGATCTCATCAATGTGTACAAATATCTGAAGTAAGGGTACAAAGAAGATGCAGTTGGGCTCTCTTCAGTGGCACCCTGTGGCAGGACCAGAGGCAAAGGGCATCACCTGAAACACAGGAGGGTCCACCTGAACATAAGGAAGCACTTTTGACTGTGAGGCTGACTGAGCACTGGCACAGGTTGCCCAGGGAGGCTATGAAGTCTCCTTCCTTGGAAACATGGTCCTAGGCGGCCTGCTTTATGTGGCCCCACCTCAGCAGGGGTTGGACCAGATGACCTCTGGAAGTCCCTTCCAACCTCAATCTTTCTGTGATTCCATGATTTTATTCCATGATTTTATGATATCCATCTTTCCCTGGCTCCTCTGTCACATCAGTACACAACGGCCACTGCAGCCTCATAAGGGAGCTATACAGAGAGGTGTCAGGGATCTTAGTTCTCCCAATTAGTTGTTTCCCAAAGAAACTCACTAACCTGGAGATACAGGGGGCAGAGATACATCTAACTTAGATACTGATAGATTTATATGTGGGGTGACCTCTTCTGTGTGAAGATTTAGTGGGTAGAAGTAATGTCCTACGCCTTTTTCCTCCAGTCAGCACATAATAACAACTAAGGCAGGTCATTCCCATAGTATCTTAAAAACACAAGTCTAAATCTTCCATAGTATTTTTTTGGAAGGAAATAACAGTTTTCAACAGCTGAGTAATTAATGAAATGAAGGAAAAAATTCTGCTGACCTTTTCTGTACATTCAGCTCCAGACTAAGATGAAGCATGAAAAAGAAGCACTGAAAACAAATTTTTTTTCAGAACGTATTAAGCATGTGAACTCTGTGAATTACTGATACAGCTATATCACTTGTACGTGGCACAAACATTAAAGTGTAGTTCACTTTAATGTGATGGCCAAGCCATCCATGTTAAAAACAAACCAGAGTTCCAAAATCATAATAAACCAATTAGTGGCTCTACTGGATAATAATAACATGGCGGTGCATTTAAAGTGTATTCAGAAAAGCTGTTTTTATATCATCACTTGCCAAAAGGCTTGTTTCCAGCTTTTTTCACACTGTTTTTCCAAGAAAAGTATGACCTCCAGCTAATTTTGCCCTGCCTGGTCAAAGAAACAACAGAACAAAAACACTCTTTTCATATGCATCCATTTATTTTGATGCCAATTCAACTCAAACAAAAACCCCATTGAGAGAAAAGAAAAGAAAAGGTCAGAAGAAAGTAAAACAGGTCAAAATCTATCACCATATCTGTCAAACACAGAAATATAGAACATACAGCAAGCCAACTAACCAGAAACCAAACTCCACCAGAAGTCAGGTCCAACTGTGTCAAAGGATGGTGTAAAAATCCCCCACAAAACCTAAGCAAAGAACATTGGTATCTCAAGAAAAGGAATAAGAAGTGACAATTCACAGAAGTCCTGCTGCTGTGCTGCCTGCCTTATTTGAAATGTTCTAGGCTCAGCCAATTTGTCAAGAATTGAACTGACACTCATGGCTTCACTCAATTCTTCCCAATCAAATTGTCTGTAATGAACTGGATTTTGGCTTGGCATGTGGCTATATTTACTGCTTTATTCAGGAGAGGTAAAACAGCACATCACCTACTTGTTTCTTGGATCCCAGCTGCCAGGTATGCTCTAACATCCTCCCCCCTCACACACTAGGTAACCATCTGCTGACATCACCAGCTGCCTCATTCTGTGTATCACCCCAAAAGATCCCCAACACCTTTTACTGTGATGTAAAATACTACCAGAACACAGGTCAAAGCATACTCACAGTGCACTGCACTAAACGAGAAAGTAGGTTTAGCTCATAGTTCTGCACTACAGTTTCCTATTAACTTTTTATTCTGAAAACAGACAGGCAATAAAGGTTGGGGTGAGAGGGACTACTCCCCAGATATTGTCTACTGTTGTGGAATAATATCTCTTTGGGGTTCAGTAAACACAGTATTTTAAATGTTGTTACATTTAGAAATTAATTTTTTCTTAGGTATCATTCTTCACAACATTCATGTATCATTTTCCTCTACCTTCCTGCCTTCTCCCACTGGAAGGTTTTCCTCATCAAAGGTTCATAGTGAGATACTTCACTATGTTTCTGGTGCTGAAGGCAAGTTTTAAGATTTCTGTGGTGGCTGTGGACTAGTGCAGCAGCAGGGACGTGTAACGTATATGTTCAGAACCCTTTTGATGAGGGGGTATGGACTACTACCTATCGGTGGGGCTGGTGTTGGTACGATGGGTGCTGCAGCCTGCAGACGGGCATGACTCTGTACGTACATTGTGGATGTGGAGCTGAATGCGGTCAGATCACACTCCCACACTATGGATGACGGTTGAAATGCCAAGAGACTGACGAAGTAAAATTGGTGGCATAGACCCCTGCCTCAATGGGCAGCTGCTGCTGTGGAGCCACAAAGAGAAGCTGTGAACTGTGGCACCTCCCCATATGTGCAACAGGCAGGCACAAAAAAGCTACTAGTCATAGGCCCAAGCTGTAATTCTGGCAGCCAGAAATACATTTCTGGGAAAGGTTAATAAAGCTGGATAGCAAGGAAATTCTGCTAGGGTCTGAATAGTGTGGACTCAGAACTGCATTACATTACAGAACCACAGCAGTCCTACTCCAAGGAAAGTCTGGCTTCTGTTTCTTGCCCGCTTGCAGATTGTGAATCAACAACTCTGAACATTTTTCTCTTTGCAGGACAGTGGTACTTGAATCTGAGTCATCAGTGTGAGATTCCCATAGTGCTCATGTAGATACCATAGTAGACCACTCGACACTCTATAACTGCCATCATGACAGAATGAATTTGAATTTTTTCACTTGAACGTGCTGTATCAGCTTCTTTTCTTACAATACATAGGGCCCAAACCCCCAGACTTCCTAGAAGAATAACATATTTCAAATATTTTCAAATTAGTTTCCTATTTTAATAAGACAAAGCAAAATCTTTTGCATTTCACGGACATATGCCTGAGAAGAAGAGGGCTTGATCAAAATATCCTTTCTGTCAAAGCTTTGCCAAAGTCAGGATAGCAAACATGTACCAGTGAGATGAATATATATTGCTCCTTTCTCCTCGAGACTCCTCAGACTTCTTCTGTCATTGTAAGATCCTTATCCAAAAGCTAGCAGACCATTAAGTACAGAGCAGTGTATCCTTTTCAGAGTGTGACTGGAACTTTACAGTGAATCCAAACTCACTGAGACTATCACAAGCAAGACTTTCTCAGTGCAAATCTAAACTTCCTCATCCCACTGAAAGTTGATTTCTGGCTTCTGTTCATCAGTGACACAAAGCAACAAATCACACGTCTTTAATCTGCCTCTTCTTTTTGTTTTATTTTGTTACCTGGTACAAATAACCAATAGCAGTAGTAAAAGCAACCCTTGTTTCCTGTCAAGGACTTGCCAGAATTAAGCAAAACTCATCTATGTTTCCTCCTTAACATCCAGGTGCACTAACAAAACCTTTGATATTTGGTATTTTATCCCTGTATCTTCCCCTAGAAGCTCAAATACGAAACATGATGCTGCTGCATGACCTGCCCCAATACTATAGAGAAATTGAGGGAACTGAAATCCTGTCAAGAACCTCTGAGTCCAATGAGATACTAACTCCACTTCAAACTCCTCCTTGTTCAACTGTCTCACAAGACAGGTAAGAACAGAACTCATAAAGGTAAATTATTTCATTAAAATTATTCGATATCCATTTACTGTTACCTAAAGTATTTTCTAATGTTTATGTTTTTCTGTCAGGACACAATTTTTTCTTTTTGTCTTAATGAAACAAAACATTTTTTACTTTGTGTAACAGTCTGCCAGTTCCCTGGGAAATATGTTGATTACAGCTGAAAAGAGGACTGCTAAAATGCATTATACTGTGGCTTTAGGGCTCAAAATCTCCTAAAATAATTTTCATAAAAAGTAAAACTAACATGTATATTGTATTTCTAATTTGGAAAAAAAATAGCATATTTCACAAACCAATCACCAACGTTTATCAAGTTATTTTTTGATCTACTCCTGTTTTGAAACTTTTTTTTTTTTTCTCCCTAGGTTACAGGCTGAGCTAGAAATACTGAGATAAACTTTAACATTAAAATTTAAAATTACAGGAAGCCTGAATTTTGCTTTCATAGTCATCAATGTGTAATCGGGAAGTTTCAGGAATCAATGCATTTTTACTGTATTTTACAGGCCCAATTATATTCTTACCAAGGGGCAGAATATGGCAGACTTCCTGCAGGTTTTAAAGTTCTGGAACGGTGAACTTCTATGCTGTTTAGTATTCATGACAATTTTTTTTTTTAATATAAATTTATGGTTTTTACATACATAATAGATTCCAGAGTTAGTCTGAAGTCCTATAGTGTCTTTTCACATGGGATTTTATCTCTTTGGTTAGCAAAATCAATTCTTAGCTTCCATCTTACTGACAGCCTTCTGGTGTTCTACTACTGCTAACTTCTTTCATTATTTGTAATGTCTCATATCCAACATCTGAATTCTAGTCAGAGTATTTTGATATTATTGGATTATCACACTTGTCAAACTGTGTCTTGATGCCTTCCACTTACATATCTTCCCTGAGGCAAGTTTTTGTTGTATTCCTTGCATTACAGGAATTTTGGTGAATTTCCATCTAATCTGTTTTAACAATTGACAGACTTGAAAGTTTACTGAATTATAAACCTGATCTGAATCAATGAATATACAGGAAAGATTCACATTGGCTGCACCGGATACCCAGCAAAAGGAAAAATTAAGCTCAGAGTGGGCTGTAATGTCAGGATCTAAACACACCAGCAAAGCATCTTTCAGATGACAACTATGTTAGGCTCAATTCTGAAACACAAACAAGAGATCAGCATGGCCAGGTCATAACATTTATTTTCTCTATGAATGGGAAAATCTGTATTGTAACACAGACAGTAAGCTACATTTTTCTGCTAATGTAAACACACACTCACACAAATTCATCAATTTGTACCTGAAAAGAAGGTGGCTGCATGTTTTACAACATCATACATGTTTTTAAAAAGGTGCAGTTTTTTTTCTAGTCACATAGTTACAAGCTAATAAATAAAAAGAACACAGATGTTCTCAGATTTTAAAAATAATGCATCTGTGAATTTTATTACATTATCATCTTGGACGAGAGTATTTGCTACCAGTGTTTGCACTGATAAACAGCACCCCTGAATAATCAGAGGCATGTATGTGTATTTGTCTAATGCTAGGTTATATATATACAAAGAAGGTACCCTAAGGACTTTACCCTATGATCAGATAGTCAGATTCAGTGTTGAATACTAAGATGATGTATATAGTTATTTATAAGCTTATTGGGCAAGAGATAATTAAAAAAAAAAAAAAAAAAAAGTTCAGCCATTCCCACCCTCCAAAAAATTAACTGAATTCCAAATCAGTATGTTGCTCAGTGACTGTGTCTGTGTGGGCAAGTATTGTGGAATACAGAAGATCTGTAGAGTGAAACAGTTGGTGCTGAGGTCCCAAAAAAATGCATTTCAGGTGCTCTTTACTTTGGATTACCTCTAGCATGATTCCAGGATCTGAGGGTCCATTTGTGGCTGTGGTGCTTTCCTGGTGCACATCTTCCAGTTAATTTCATCCAGAAGGAACACAGTTTGTGTACTCCTAGACCAACACACTGCAAAATAAAGACCATTGGGAGATTCATGTCAAAAGTGCGCTCCTGGTCCAAATTAAAACACCAGTGTGAATGTACCCTATGTGAACTCACTCAGAGGCAGGCCCTAATCCCATCCCTTTAAGAACCCCCTTTCCACAGACCTTCTGGAAGCTGAAGGCAACACCCCCTCTCAGATGTGTTGGCTTCATGCACTGATTAAATCAATTACTGGAGCCCTTCACAAGCTCACAATCTAAGACACTGTATTCATACACTCTGGTTTGAGCTCCCTACAACAAAACAAATTTGAAGGGAAAAATGTAACTTTTTAAAAATAGAGGCACTAGCAAACTGATGTCCCGATCCCAGAACATTGGCTTTGCCAGAACAGGAGAGCCAGAAAGTGAGAAGTTGGCTGTCAGAATTCAGAATAAATCTACAATTGTGGAAGTTAGAAATGTTAATAGTCTCTATTAAATCACTGACTATATTGCTGAGACTCTTAAGGATTGCTCACAAAATATTCTTGAAAACTTTGTTCATCCTAGCCATCTTTCCATATTCTCTGGACAGAGACATTTTTTTCCGCGTCCTTGAGATCTTCAATATCACTGGTTCAATATCATAGATTTCCCTAAGATCTATTTAGATATTTAGGACTCTGCCACAGTTTGAGTCTAAATGTACTCTGAGAAGAAGTTTTGGTAGCCATTACTTTTTCTTTCTTAAAAACCTATACTCATAATGAAGGTCAGGATTGTAATGCTCATTGAAATGCTCATAGTCATATAATAAATGAGCCTATTTTCCCTCACGTTTAAGGAGATGTGGGCTCAGGGATGTGATTCTACCTCTGAATAAATGTAAGATGAATTAGGGGAATCTTACACCTGCAAAACACCATAAGCCTGAATCCAGATGGTGCCTGGAGATTGTCACTTTTCCCCATTATAGCTTAATAAACACCCTCTCCCCTCACCTCCAAAGTGATGATCAACACTAGGAAATATTAATAACATCTCTGCTTAAACAAGGATTTCTTTAGCTAACATACCTCGCTCCATCAGGAATCACACATCCAGAAACCTAGAGCAACACTATACTTTGGAGCACAGGTCAGAGAAACCCGAGGTAATTGGGAGCGAGTTGGAATATCTGCACGATTCACCACAGCCTGTGCTGTGACAGCAGCGCAGTGGGTACACCACCGCCAACAAAGGCACTCCCACTGGCCTGCAGCCATGTCCAGCTGCTTCACTCATCAGTAAAGAAACACCCAATATCAGAAAAAGATGGTAGTACAAATGAGGACTAGCTAGAGCAAGAATTGGAGCCATGCAGTGATAGGAGGGCTGACAACAAACACTGACGTGGATGCTGGTTCCCAACCCATTTGCCTAAATATCACTCTCTTTAGTTTCATATGAACGAAGAAAGCACACCAGTAAAACATCCCAAGGGTGACCATCCCCATCACATACCACAACAGTTCATTACTTCCTTGATAAGGTTTTCAGAAAATCTTGGACAACTAAGTCAAATCTAAATCACTCGCTTTGGCTCTTACAGAATCATAGAATATCTCAAGTTGGAAGGGACCTGTAAGGATCATCGAGTCCAACTCCCTGGTCCTTGCAAGGACTTATCTCCTTAATAACATGATTAGCTGTGCATATGTTCTCCTGACTGGAAAACTGCTGCCCCCCCAAAAGAAAATGAAGGTTTAAATTTTCTGTGAGTTTGGTGTCCATCTTTGCAACACTGTCAACAAAAACTATGTGAGGTGAACATGCATCTAAACACATTGAATTGCTTAATTTCAAATGACAAAGATGTATGGAAATGTATTGAATATCCTCAGCCACTAGAACATCCATGTGAAGTGCCTGACACAGCTTGTATTCAGTGTGAATTACAGCTACTAAACAGTAACATTTCTCACCCCTCTCTAGAGATGGAGAGGGGAGGTTTTCAAAGGCACAAATAACAAATTCTGAAATCCGTGGGAATTAGATGCTAAAGCTTCCATCTGTGCCATTGCATACATTTGCTGTCCATATGCCACTTACGTAGTACTGAAGGGACAGTGCAGATATCTATGTGATGGCAGATGAGACTCAGTTACACTATAAGATGTGCATGCTGCATGCATCTATCACCTTTCTTCCTCTCACCGATCAAAACATAATAGACCTTCATTAAACAATTTCCAATCACCGTTGTACTTCTCCTAGTGACATTTCACAGTAAGAGCATTACCCAGAATAAGGCTGAGTAACTCACAGCCAAGAAAATAAAGCCAAGTTGTCCTTTTTGAAAAGACTTCAAGGAACCATCACTGTTGCTCCCATTAAAGGACATTTTGGTTTGTTTTTTTTTTTCTTTCAGATGTAAAAAGTTTGGGGAATCCCTTCACTGCTGCAACCTTCCCTGGGGAGCAGAAAGGGAGCATGGAGGAATTGCACTACCTGTACTGCTAGAAGAAAACAGGGCAAAGGATAAGTCTCCATGTACATTTGTTAAAGGATATCAACCTTATGGAGGTGGTCTAGACCCTTGGCCAAGGTAGGCTAGACATATACTTACCACAGTCAAAATGTTTAAGTGAAGTGTTTTTAACAGGAATAGCAACAGACAGCAAAGAGGTTAGACAGAAACGTAGACTGAGACATGAAGGTATCTGTATTCCAAAAACGGGCAATTTAAGCTTCTACTCTTTTCACAATGCCCTAAATATTAATGTGGGAATACACTGGTACCCACAAATCTCCACACAGTGTTCTGGCTGAAACACCTGAAAGCTCCAAATTTCCATATTTATGACAATTATCTACTGTTGGCTGCTGTCTCAAATACCCTTCCTGACCTTAAAAATGTCACTACTGGCATAATTTACAGCATCCACAAATCCCATAGACATAAACATGAAAAGTCAGTGCTCAGCTTTGTCAGAAATCTGTTGTAAAAGAAGAGATCTCTCTAGACAACAGCTGAGCGGAAGAGCTCTGGGGTATGTTTTCTGAGTCAGGGCTCCTTCTCCTAGCCTCTCACCACAACCAATTTCTTCTTTAGAACATACTGGGGATCATGCTACTTCCACTGAAACCAGTTCCAAAATTACTTGTTCATCATGACAGCTTTTGTAAAAAACAAGACAAAACAAGATAAAACAACAACAACAAAAAGACTGACTAGTTGGTAGATAGATAGGCAAATAATGATGCCAAATCTCTGCTGTTCAGACACTCAGGTAGGTTTCAAATAACCATCGCTGACTTACAGAAAAGCTCTGGAGGCTGAACATGTTGCTGCTTAGGACTGACATAGAGAAGTTCAAGGATAGCCTTCAGCCCTGCAGGCTTCCCTGGAGAACAGGAATGGAAGATGCAGGGTAGGCATCTGCATGGCTGCCCAAGGGCTAAAACACAAGTCAAAGACTGGAAACATGACTACCTGTCCTTGCTCTCCTCTGCGTTATCATGAACTAACCTCTCTGTAAAATGATCACAGAATCATAGGATATCTCGAGTTGGAAGGCACCCATCAGGATCATCAAGTCCAACTCCCTGCTCCTCACAGGACTACTGAAAACTAAATCATATGACTAAGAGTGTCATCCAGATGCTCCTTGAACTCTGACAGGCCTGGTGTCATGATCACCTGCCAGGGGAGCCTGTTCCAGTGACTGACCACCCTCTCAGTGAAGAACTTTTTTCTAATATCCAACCTGAATTTCTCCTGACACAGCTTCGTATCATTTCCATACGTCCTGTTGCTGGTCACCAGAGAGAGGAGATCAGCACCTCTCCCTCTGCTGTCCCCCTTGAGGAAGGTGTGGGCTGCGGTGAAGTCACCCCTCAGCCTTCTCTTCTCCAAGCTGAACAAACCAAGTGACCTCAGCCACTCCTTGTAAGTCTTGCCCTCAAGACCTTTCACCATCTTGGTTGCCCTCCTCTGGATACACTCTAATAGTTCGATGTCCTTCTCATGTTGAGGCACCCAAGACTACACACAGTACTTGAGGTGGGGTTGCACCAGAGCAGTCATCTCCCTCAACTGGCTAGTTATGCTGTGCTGGATGCACCTCAGGACACAGCTGGCCATTTTGGCTGCCAGGACACGCTGTTGACTCATATTCAAGTTGGCATCAACCCAAACCCCATGGGGCTGCTCTCCAGCCTCGCATCCTCCAATTTGTACATATAACCAGAATTACCCTTTCCCAGGTGGAGAATCCAGCACTTGCTCTTTTTAAATGATGCTGATGGGACTTCCATCCCAGGAACATAGCAAGGTGCTGTGATCCCACGATGATAGGATCAATACAAGAATGCATAATGAGCTTGAAGCAAGAAGTTTCATTGTTCTTGTGTTTTTCTTTTCTGAATATGCAATCCCTTCAATTATTTGTTGTTCAGGTGCACTAGTATAGAGCCCCTAATACATAAAAGTAAATCCCACTCTGAAGAGAAAAAGAGTTCCAGAAACAAGCCTTCCCTTTCCACAAGATGGAAAATGCCTAGGTAGCGTATAGTCTGTGTAGCTGTCTTTACATTTCTACCCTCACATTGCAAGCAAGCAACAGTACCAACACAGGCACAGCACCTAATGAGAAGGTAGATGAGTCACAGTGACTACATGCCCTGTCTCAGAAAACCAGCTTAGCAGTCAGGAAGGGAGAAGAGGTTTGCAAGCTACTTTATAAACCTGAGTTCATTACATCCATTTGTTGCTTGTCTTGAGCAGCTCTCACTGTAAAGTGATAATGCAGAAGGGCTGTTCAGAACATATCCAGGTACCCACGATCCTATTAGTAAGGGCAAAATAGAGTAGCCTTTCCTCCACAATAAGTTTCTGTATTACACAGATTAGTTTCCAGGTAAGTGGCAGAGCCACAGTATTCCCAGTGGCACCACCTTTTCTGATCTCAATTAAATCTACCAGAGATACAGGCTAGAAATTAATTAGAAACTTACTCTAGTGCAAACAATTATAGAGGAGAAAGCTGAAGTGGTCAAGATTCAAATGAAGAATTTTCGTGGCTATGCCTCTGATAGCACTGGCACAAATTCCAGTAGTGAAAGCATAAGAAACCTAAATAAATATATTTGTAATACAGCTCATAAATAAAACCTCAGGAAATACCCACAGTGAGAATTATTTTACTTTTATGAAGCAAATACTGCTTTTTCATAAGAACCATACAAAAATACTTAAATAAAATCCCACAGCTAGGGTTGATTTAAATATAACTTTCTAGAAAATAAGACATTATTAGATTATGCTGATATTGGTATTTTCTATATACGTGCAGGACTTTGGGCTGTGACAGCATAGTACACATGGCAAGCACCAGTCACACACTCTGTGGTTCTAAAACTAACAGTAAGAGGGGTGTGTTGCTTGTGCTTTGTTTTTTAAATCATTTTGTAAGATATCTATGAAATATTATGAGAAAAAAAGTGAATAATAGATTTTCCAGTGCACCTCTGCATAACTAATCTGTGGCTTTTACACATGCTGGCAAATTTCCAATGTATAAAGTTACAGAACTCAAAGGAATTTTTATCACATGAGAAAAAAGGGACTAGAAAAGCTGGCTTTAAGAGGAAAATGAAATGAATCAATTCCCACTTTGGGTGAAGCTCAGTTTAGCAAAGCCAAACTATAAAGCTATTTCTACTACCAGGAAAATATTACTGGTTATGGCTGATTTTTTCCAGCTGTATTTCCTTCACTTTGGCACTCATATTTGCTCTCTTCTGTTGTGTTTTAGTTTGTTGGGGTTTTTTTTTAACCTGATGTCCCATACTAACACTGCTTTGTTTTCCATTGTTTAAACTCAATGACAGGTATGATACTGTCTTCTCTTCAGATTATTTTCAGTGAAAAGCACCATGAAGCTTGGCTAGACTCTGGGAGCTCTTTGGCATCAGAAGGAGCTGAAAATGATCCCTGTAACATAGGAATAATTTAACTCCTTATAAGGTCAAAAGGAACCTGAACCCATTCAAGACATTCCCACAGCTCCTACTGAGTGTTAGGTGTGCATGGTGAGGGGCTGTAAGGGACAGGCTTTCACAGGGGGAAATGCTCAGGAACTTTGGATTCAGGCATGGGTGCTCAGCACCCCTCAAAATCCAGCCCTGCGTGACTCAGATTTTAAAATCCAGGATAGATTTCCACACAGGCAGTGTCTATGAGGTTTGATATTAAGGGTTACCTGAGAAATCAAGTCAAAAACATATCAATGTATTTGGATTTTTATAAGCAAAGAGAGCATAAGCTTTATACATTTATATTTTCTCTTTGTACAGAGGCCTTGTCACTAAGCAATACTATGATGTCACTCAGCTGAAAAGAAGTGATGTGTGTATGAATTATGAGCTGTAAATTTAAACTGTACATTAATCAGATTCTGAACTTAGTGAATATAACAGCAAACTGAATATTCATTCCACTCTGGTGATATTGCACACATATGATATGAAGTGCAGATATGATATGAAATCTGAAGGGCCGTGTTCTGTAAAAAGGGATTAGTTAGTAACAAAGGAGAGCAAACACAGTTGGGAAGGAAATTCAGAATATGGCATTGTGCCCCTTCAGTTTAGTACCTCTACAAGGGTCTCTGAGTTTGCTTTGCAGGCTGTCCATAATGATCAACTTGCAATACTCAAAAATGTTAGTCTTTCTACTAGTTAGAATCCAGATTAAACTGAAGTAACTGAAGTAACCATGACACCATGTGTATTTCAGTCCACTTTTCTGGTGTGTGTACATATATATGCATCTATCTCTCTCTCTATATATATATATATATGTGTGTGTGTATTTTTGGTGAAGCTTTAGAAAGGATTATTTTCCTAACCACCACCGTTCAAGAAATATCAGATTAAGTGAATCTGGATGCTGCTGGAGTTCTGCAATCCAACATTTTGCCACTTGATGGCACCATCAAAACGCTTAAATTTGACCAAACTACTGAGATTTTAGATTAAGGTAATTTCAAGTGTAAATGTAAATTTTTCAAACGCAGAAAACGAACAAGTTACACCTCTCGTATTAGCATTTAGAACTAGAGCATATTAGAAATCTGAGAATAATTCTGAGACGATTTCTCAGTTATCTTTATAGGGCTGGGAGGTGCATTTTTTGCCATCACTACTCCCCCTTCATTCTCCCCACATGTGAGGTACCTGCTCCCACTTTGTGTAAAATCAGACACTCTAGGAAAGCAGGAGAGCTAATTGTAAACAGGCCACAGAAGCTACACAAGGAGACCTGCAGCCCTGTTCTTTGTAATCCACTGCTTTTTGCAGGCCTCTCTCTTTACTGCCTCATTACAGCATGCAGCACAAGCAGGAGTGTGGTTACCTACGAGAGTGTAACGACATTTTACTGGGACAGATTATGGCCTTTGACCATCAATGCACATTAGAGGCACAGCCTGTGCCACTTCTGGAGAATTTGATTATGAGCTACAAGGAAGTAGCGAGTTTCCCTGCAAGTTTCTTCCTACAAGTTTCCTAAGCACTAAGTAACAAGAACTGACCCGTGCACTTTTGTAAGATAATGGAGCATTTTTGAAGTTTTCTTAAAACCAACACCCGTGCAAAGTGAGCACTCTCATGCTGCACAATCAAGCTGGGTGGTTCTGTTTCACTACCTAATCCATCCCCAAGAAAACTCCACTGGCTGCAGTGGAATGATGCTGGGGAACAATTTGGTCCACTGTGACCTGCTAGTGAAATAAGTGTCCCATTATGTGACATTTATATTGGTATCTCTGAAATAGCAGAAACACAGACAGATTGTGGAGTAAAATTAAAAACTGCCCTTTGCATGTGATAGGAGGCCTGCTGTGTTTTCAGTAATCCCTAGACTGGTCAACATCAAATGCTTCTTGGTTAAGGATGCTCTGGGACCCATTCACTTCACATCAAGAGTGTTTCTTGTGCCAGCTCCTCACCAGAATACATCATCCACATACACAGGCTGAGGCAGAGATTGCAGCACCTTTCTGGGGATTTTCTTCCTTAAAAGGAAGCAGCCAGGGACAGCTGGGACTCTATGTCCTTGTGCTAGCTGTACAAGGAGGAAGGAGGTTTTACACAAGCGTAGATCAAACTCTGCCCCTGTACATACTGAAAAGTCCACGACCTTGGGACTCTGAATATTTGATCAACAGCGCATTGATGTACTTTCTCCATTATTCTGCACTCACTTCTTAACCTGAAACATGCTGTGTCTCTATGCTTTGTCCTATTTTGAGCATTTTCTTTTCCTGTAAGGTTGTATTTTCTCAGTTTTTGGAAGACTTTTAAATTGAAGGAAAGAATATATCATTTAAAACAAAAAGTGAAACACACACACACAAGAATTTTCCACATTCATAGTCCCGTGTCTTTCAGAGCAAATACTCTTTCTGCTGTCAGAGACTATTAAGCAGTGACAGCCACATGGAACCTTTCCTGAAAAATACCCTCTGAGTGGTGCTCTGCAGACCTACCTGGGAGCTATTAACACTCAGTTTATTTACCTTATGGCCTGTGAGGCCTCCTTTGAGCAATTACTGTCTTTTGTGGGAAATCAATTACCAGGCATTTGCAATAACTTTGTACACTTTCATGGAACAACTATGCCTTTGCCTTAAGTATGCGCACTACATATCCTTGTGCAGTTTTTCACTAGAGTGAATCACTGGGTTTGTGCAGATGTGCTCTTCTAAGTGCATTAGCAGTGGGCCACACACATATGCTGTCCCAGGTAAATATACTGGAGAAAAGTAGTTGCCTCCTCCCACCTAAAGGTGTAATGACTTCACATTAAACAAGATGGCAAAATCCTGAAAAGTCTTGAAAAACACCCTTCAGTCATTGCCAAGAACCCTAGTTATACACACACACACACGTGCTACATCAGGGTAGAGCATTTGCAGCTGTCCTTCCAAAGACAAGTGACACCAGTGAGGTTTTGGGTGGGTTCAGTGACAGCACAGAATGAATGAAATCTGGCTTTTTTTCCTGTGTGTTTTCATCTGCTTTCTCTGTTTATCATGCCACACAGCACTTATATTCCTCTGGCTGTCCCCCAGCTCCTCAGCTCCTGGTGGTTCCTTAACCTGCAGCTCCCTGACCAAGCAGGTTTTAAGGTTAAGCAAGGTGAGTGATTTCCTCCCTTTGCAAGAATAAAAGGCTGCAGAGAAAGCCAATTTACACATGTGAAATGTTTTCTTTTTCAGCCATAACTTCCTTCCTGTTAAAATTGGCAAGAGTGATACATCTTATTCTCATAATAATTTAATGAGTGCATGGGAAATCAAAAGGAAAGAACATCAAAAACTTCTCTGGCCTGATCTAGGAAAGAAGCTCATGAAGCTCTCCACACTGCAACACTTTCAGGCCAACACCACACCTGAGAGAAGAAACAGATCTTCAGAGGCTCCTACCATGTGTCAAAGAGTAGAAAAATAGTGGTAAGCAGGAACCTTTCACAAAGGTCACACAAGTTCCAGTGTGTCTTTTATTACCATTACTGAACAAGTACATCTCTGCACCTAGTGCTCTGCACTACATCAGGCGGGGGGGATCTGCAGAACTGCTGCAGGCGAAGCCAGTGTCTCCATAGGGTACTACTCTCTCTCATGTGAAACTTGGTTTATGCCTGTTCTATCAAAAAGTGTTTGAAGAGTGCCCACAGTGCACTCATTGCTAGGGAAATGGGATGATTGTCCATCCGGATTGCTCCCTGGATTCATTCTGAGGCTTTCCAAACTGGGAGCATAAGTCCCTCCAGCTTGAGTCAGACTTCTTTTCAAGACACTGATAGACTCCATATCCTCTGTGGACTGAACATAAAGGGGCAGATATAATACTGAGCAATTGTTTCTTCTGTGATACTGACAGACTCCAGCAAAAGTCTGCTAGAACTCCAGTGAAAGCAACTCGGTGCCAAATTTGGAAAAGCTGCTGTTCCTTTCTTCCTTTTCAGCCAGAGCTCTACCTTTTTATACTGCCATCCATTCTGGGTGGCTTCTCTAAATCATAGTACAGTCATGAAAATACATGTTCATCCCTATTTTATTGCTGCCTTAAGTTTAGATGTTACAATAAATAGTGCTCTACAAAGATACTTAAGTAGTTCTGTCATGGCAGAGCACAGAGTAGACTGACTCTCCTCATTTATGCATATTTATATCAGGAGTATGGCCAATGAATGCAATGAAGAATGTAACAATTCACACTGTAACGCAATGGGAATGGAAATGGAAATTGAAAATACTTGGTAGTGCTTCTTTTCAGTTTTGTACAATTGTAACAAAATATGAACTGAAAAGAAACACTAAGAAGTATTCTCATTCGTGTCTACAGCACCAGTAGATGTACAGCACCAGTTCTAACTGTAAAAATGGAAAATCAATTAGAACTGTCTGTGGAACAAACTTTTAAAGATTGCTGTTCTGTAAGTATGGCTATTTCTGTGAAAGCTTTCAATTTTCAAGACAGACACAAAGTCTGAATCAGAGTCCCAGGCCGTTATAAATGTAACAATATACAACTGGTTGTCAGAATCAAAAACTTTAAGTCCTGTTATCTCTGTAGCATCACACATTAAAAGCAGGTCTTTTGTTCAGCTCAGTTGAGGCATGAGTTATGCTGCCAGGATAATTTGTGAGATATCACACCTCATGTTGATTGCACTGAGCCCCATAGGATCACAACACAGATTTCACAATGAAATGCAAGACTTCTGTATGTTGTATCAGAACACGCAAACACAGTTGGCCTGGCACTTGAAGCTTATCTCCAAAACACCCATGTCAGTATGGAAAGAAATAAGCACAGGGCTCTATTTAAATTCTTTGAGCAAGAGGGCATAATTCCTCTTCACAACTATGTCACTTCTACTTTTACAGAGACTAATTCAATGATGGAGAGGCCAAGCTGAAGCTCCTGAGTCACAGGTGACTTGCAGCGAGGTTGGGTGCAGCTCCCATGTCCCGGCCATGTCATTGTCCAGGCTACTGAGTGATCCCCAGCTCTGGGAGGAGCAGAGTTCTCACAGGAACTGCTAAGGCTGGAACGATGGAGTCCCCGTGGGGGGCTATTAACATCCCACACGGCTCTGTCCTCCGACTGACCAAGGGGAGCTGCCCTGAGAGGTTATCACCATCTACTGCTTGGGAATTAATCCAGGACACCCCTCTCCTCACTGAGAAAAACAAGGGGTTTTAGCAATATGAAGATTTAGGTATGTGGCTTGTAGAATCAAGAAACTTTGTGTGATCACTGTACAAATAATAAAGTTTAAAAATAGACAATCATCAGAAAACCTCTCCTATCCTTCTATGGTAAAGACCCTTTCAAGCAACACCTGGTAAGTAAGCCCTTTGCATTAAATACACCAGATTTTGGAGCTCCAGCTGATCCACTTAGATTAGTCCAGTAATACTGTATTTCAGGCATTTTTAACTTTTTTTTTTTCATTATACCACAAAGAACCATTAAGCACATTATTTTTTAAAATCTTAGATATTTTTCTGACTTGTCACAATTGCCAAGAGACTCTTAGCTACTCAGTGATGAAATTCTTGCCCTTTAAAGTTAGTGTTTTCTTTTGATTGCTTTTTCTAAAATTTATTTGAAGCACGAAATAAGTCTCCATGGTAAAATATAAATAATTTATCAGCATGGAATGAATAAGTATTTTCTCTGCAAGTATAAACAGGATATGGGTTTTGTTTTGCCTTACTGAAAAACTATTTCATTTTACTAATAGCACATACCATTGTTAATTAATATACAGCTTATTACACGAAAGTGTAAGAGAGTAGATTTTTTTCCTCACTCCTTTTAAAAAGACATTCTGCACATCACTTGTTCCCAGTGTCTTTTCAGTCCTTAGCACCTGGCAACACAAAACATTCCTCATGTAATGAGTGGTATCAGTAATAATATTATCTGCACTGCTTCCACATTGATTTGTCCCTAGTGTATACTGACTGCACTGATTCAGATAAAGTGTGGGAGGTGCAAATGAAAGTGGGTCACTTCAGGTAACTTATTTATTATGTTTCTTCCCTAATATAGGCTTAATAAACCACCAGAAAGTTTGGCTAAGTACATTTCACCTATATTATATCTTATCTTTCCTTAACGAAATAAAAAGGCAAGTTGTTCCTCTTAGAGCCATAATTGCACAGTGCAGGTTCCTCGGCAATAAGCAGCAGCACAACTAGGCAAAAAAACCTCTCTTTAATTAAGTATGCAAGGTTGATCAGGTTAGCAGTGTTTGCCTAATACACCCACTCTCCTAACAAATACTGATCTTGCTGACTTGCCTATGGGCTAATTGGGTTTTCTGGACTGTGTTGTTCACAGCCTCTTTATCTAATGTGAATTAAAGTGTTTGGGAGCATCTACCACACACAGCTAAGGGATCTAGAGTATGTATAAAGGAGATTTATGAGAGAGAAGCTTCAGAAAAGCCCAGCTTGGTAAAACATCTCGTTATGTCATGATGCACAGCCTCGGGAATGGAATGAATTTGCCTCCTGTATAAGGTCGTGACTTTGCTTTATACAGCAATTGGGGAAAGGTGTTTGCTCACAGTAAGCTGCTATATGCAGTTGTGGTAATGTTTAGAAGAATCCAAACAGGGTCCTAGTCTCTCTTACTGGAATAACCTGCTGCTTTCATTTTCCTCAGAAGATTTCGGGATTCCCCTGATTTTAATAAGGTTTTTTACTATTCTATCATTAAAAACTGGAAGCTGAAAAGAACAGCCACAGGTGTATGGGCACTCCATGGAATCCCAGTTCTCAGAATCCCATAAAATTCTCTAGTTTAGCTTTATCATCCTTCCTTCCAGAAATAAACATCATCTTAGAGGCAAATTTTGATTTCACAAGCACAAAGTCAGTTAGTATTAATTGGAGCTATGCAAGAATCAGAAGTCTACATTTTCCTTTCCTTAAGCCACATAAAAGTACATATGAATTGGTATTACTGATTATGTACAGAAAGTGCAAGGGAATCATCATTATGAATTCTTTGCAGGAGAGGGATTATGAATTCTTTGCAGCAAGAGGGGATTAAAGAACTAAGATATTGCCTTTCTGATTCCCACATCTCTCCCTGTTCTTGCAAAGTGTTATATTTAATGCTAAAACTCTGTGAAATGCAAAATAAAGAAATTTTCTTTCTTTCTGTCCCTCTTCCTGACAATTCAAACCAACCCAAGACCACTGTGCCTGCCATTTCCCACCTCTCATCCCTACCAGACACACATCTCTAGGTACACCGTGTTCCCAAACTTCAGATCACTTGAGAATCGAGACACTGGGATCGATGCAAGCAGTAATCAGCCTTTCCATCCCAATATCCCTACCAAGGATTTTCATGTGACTGTTCTGAGGAAGACCACAGGTAAGGCAGCACTCTGTTGGTTTACCATTTACCCTTGAAGCTTGCTTAGAAACACTACTGAAGTCATGACTCTCTTCTACTGAAGCTTAACAGAGCCAGAATCTGAATATATCAGTGCTCAAGCTAAGCATCTTGGCTTAAATTAGAGCTCTGTGTGCTGATAGTTCCAGACGCCATGGAGGATACTTCAGCACTGAGAATGATGAATAAACCTGACTCATGTGAACACCTTGTAGCCTCAGAAGCCAACAGAGCTATTAACATAGCTGCTAATCCCCACAAAACAAGATAGGTCATTTAGTGTATCTGATATCTTTTGTCAGAGGAATAATTCTTCACAGTCCAAAACAGTGGAAGAGAAAGGAAAAAAAAATTGTATCAGTGGGATCAAAAACAATTCGGCAGTTTTGGGGCCAAAGTTATGCCTGCCATGTCTTTGCTAAAGACAACATGGGTATCCTTGAAATAAGAGCGGAATGATTTAAAAGATTTTTATCACTACACAGATGGTAAAACAAAGTCCAGGGAGAAAAAGCAACTCTTCTTATCCCTTATGAAGACTGAGATGAAACCCTAGACATTTATTTACAGAATTCCATGTAAGCCATCATGAGGTGTTTGGTTTTAATCCCAGCAGCATTTTACCCTGAGAGTGTTTTACATAATATATTGGAGAAAAAGGGCATGAAAATTTTGGTCTTATTCTCATTTCCCCTAGAGGCATTCTACTACATTGGGATTTTGACAGGCACTTTGTTTTGGAAGACTTTAAAGATCACCTGCATGAACTGATGAAGAGACCTTGGCAGCTGCTGACCACACAGGGTTATGGGGAATCTGGGACAGGAGAAAGCCAGCACCTCTGTATGCCATGGCAGTGCTTGCCAGGAAGGGTTTGGAAAAAAATGTAAAACAGAAAAAGTGTATGCTGGCATGGGTAAGAAGTTTTTCTGCAGAGTAAAAACTGATAATCTTAAGCAGGTGGTCAATTTGCATTAATTAGCTGTCACTCCCAGTTATCAGCACAGTGATGTAAAGTTATGTATATAATTGGGTACATAGGGCATTTTTAGTGGAGTACTTGTCCATCCAACCCCAAAATCTTTCCACAGAATATGTAATGCTAGTAATCATTTTTAGTCAGTTTTCACTGATTAGTAGTCAATTTACGAAACACTAATCATGTGTGGAGGTGGGTTTATAAAGCCAATTTTTCACAAGAGGATCACTGGAGGCCAAGCCCTATTTCCAGCAAAGCTTAGCAGGTTCAGAATTACTAGCCAAGGAGGAAGCCACCACTGGCACTTAGAAAATACTTTAACTCCATTTGCTGCTCCCTCCATACTGTTTGACTTCCTCTGAGATCAGGACACTCCAGTTCTCAGTCACTGAATGAGAAATCTTTGGTTAAGTACAGATAACCCAGACCACACTCACGTGACTTTTACCACTGTAAAATTGTATTTAAAAGCTTTGTGCCTTTTCTACATCTCACATTTACAAAACTCAGAGTAGCTATTATATAGTTAATGCTGACAGCATTTTTGTGAAATAAATAAGGAGAGTGGGGCAGTAAGATGGGAGAGAAAAAGCAGTGATAGAACCAGGATTGGAAATCAAGCTCTTTCAAGCATGAACGGCAGTTTCATTTTTATAAGACATCTAGCAGCACTCAGTTATTCCTCTGATGGTGACATTACAAGTACAGACAGCTTCACAATTCATCAAGCTTTATTGTTTGTTGTTGCTGTTTGTAAAAATCATGCACAGAAAACGCAGGAAGAATTTTCCCTGCTGGTATGTGAGCCAATCCACAGCTCCTGCACTTGGCCATGGGAAGATGACCTTCTGCAGAGGCAGCTTTATCTGGAATAAGATCCAGCCCTCAGCTGTTTGTCACCACCTTTCTGCCTGACACAACCAGCCTTGCAGATCTTCTGGTGCAGATAATCACATTGAGTGCTTCCAAAAAGACAGCTGGGTTAATTTATATTGATTAAATGGGTAATCTGATTTAACCCTGCTGATTTTGTACCAGAGTGAAGATGAGTTCTGTCTGTAGATCCATGAGATCAGTCTCCCAAGGTAGAAGAAACATTAGCAGCAGCTCACAGAACCTCTTCCATCAGCACAGCTGTCTGTATAGTAAGCATATGTCTACAGCTTAAAATGTGGATCCATCTGTCATTCTGATCTGTTCTAATGATGTTCCATTAGAACTTATTAAATATTTCCCCTGTAGGTAATCTATATAGGCATGAAGTTGTCAGTATTCCCTCTGACTCCCAGAAGGCAGCTGTGCGCTGGCACACATACTTCCAAGTACATAGTTCATACAAAAAAGAGCAAAATGCCTTTGTTTTTGATCAAACTTCTCTACATCTCTTTCATGGGATACATTTCTACAGCAAGAGCTCCTGTACTGTTCCAAACACTTGCAGGCCATGAATTAGGCATCACTCATACAAAGACTGAAAAGCTTTAGACAGTTTTCAACCATCTCAGCCGTGTATAAACAAGATCAGAAACTAGCAGGCTGTCCTGTGACTGAAGTGTTTTAAGTACTAACTACCCCTCGTAGGGCCTAGGCAAGTAGTTCTGGAGGTAAGAAAAACAAGAAGCAGCAGTAATAGCTGTCGACCATACATTTGGGGTGGCGGGGTAGGTCGTTTCAGAAACCCAGATTATGCTCTGCAGCCCTTCAAAGAAATGGGTTTGGACAGCAGTAGATCTTTGCTCCTCCTTACCACTCCACAAATCCTGCCGACATGCTGACAGGCAGCATGATGTTCATGAATGATCGTGTTTCTACTATTCTTCAGCTTGGCTAAACACTAGTTCTTTTCCCAAACGGATGTAGCCTGAAGTTTGATGGCAGATAAAAGTCATGAATAGTGTAGGAAAAAATAGCAGTGAACAAAGAAGGATACAGCCTTTGTAAACACACAGGCTTATGGATGTGGCAAGAGAAACAGTAAACAGCAGCCCATTTTAAGGCAGTCTGTAATTATGACTACAGAAGAAAGCTTGTATCACATGCAATGTTCTGCCTAGATGTGGCTACCATGGAGAACTTGCATCCAAGATATCTGAATTGAGTTCAGCTGAATTAGTACCTGTTGAATCAGAATTCCTATTCCACAGTAATACTGTACTGAATACAATTTTTCACCACATTTTTACGTTTATTAGCATTTACTAAACACATCATTGGGGGAGGGTGATGCCACATGTGTTATTTCAAAAATTTTAAGTAGTCTTTTCCATCCAGCACAAAGAGTTATTTTATGCCTTACCTATTTCTTCTCATCCTTCAGCTTCCTAAATTTGCTGAATAAAAAGGTCAAATATGCTATTAAAATCCACCAAAGGCAGTGGCCTCTAACTCCACTTTTAAAGAGCTAGAACATAACCTCTCTGCAAGAGCAAACAGTGTGCTACGAAATGCTGAAAGAGCTCTGGGGATGACAACATTCAGTTGGGACTTCATAGGTAAGCATTTTTTGTTAAATTAATTTTCTTGGGATAGCAATGAAAGACCACAAAGTGTTAGCTCCCAAATTTCTCAAATAAATTAATTTTTTTCTCATTTAGTAAAAAAAGGCCACACTGTAAATAATCTGAGGTTTTTCAGGGAGACTGTTCATTAATTCTGATTTTCCTAACCAATAAAAATGTGTGACAATAAAATATGTCTCCACTGAGGGAAAGGTCCTATGAGTCCCCTTATCCTGGACAACTATTACATGAAAGCAGCTGGCAGATTAACAGGAGAACTAGGTGAAGACATGGAACTAATAAGTACTGCATTTACTAAGAATCTCATACTTCCACCACAAGTAACACTGGCAAGAGTATTACCAGATTCAGCTAGCAGAATTAAACCTTCCATTTGATAATACTTAAGTGCAGGGCAAGGCTCAGTCTAAAACAGAGGCAAAAGTTCAGTATCCTAAATTCCTCCTGACACAGATGGTTGACAGAACTTCCGTAATGGATTAATGACTTGTTCAGAGTTTGCAGGGAGGAAAGTTATTGTGTTTATGTGCTTGGTTTTTATCTTATCATTTAAAGATGCCATCAACACATGACAGCAATTTTAACGACCTTTTGCCTGGATGAGTAAGTCTCCATAAAACCGGTTGGCAGATCTCATGTGAATGGTATAGAACATATTGGCTAGATGTTCAGCTGGTGTTAAACAGGACAATCTCACTGAACTCATCAACCTACTGTCTATATTGCACATTGTGTATTTGGTAAGTGACCTATTACCGTTTCAGACTATTGACTCCTTACTAACTATACCAGTTTAAGTTCAGCAGAGTTTCCACAATTCATCCTCCTCCATTTACGGAGTGATTTGCCTTTCTTCCTTAAGGGTGCATCGGTAACATTATCATATTCTCTAGCAAAGATTTACTCTAAAAAATGCATAAAACTATACTGGAAACTCCATGTTTATCGTCTTCAACAATTTTTATATTCTGTGAGGCCTGTATAAAAGTGAAAAGATACTATTTATATTAAGTAGTACACATGCAAATGAAGCATAAATTGGTTTATAAGCACAGCAAATGAAGTTGAGCTGTGTTTTGCTAATGCATCATTACCTGTAATGGCTTAAGCCATTCAGTGACATCTGCACATTGTCATGCAGAGCACATACACATGCCTAATTGATTGTAACTGACTAAGCAATTCCACAGGTAAAACTGAAGGAATGGATTCCTGCCCTGCTGGCTTTACAGCACTTCTGGGTTCAAACTGCACAGACATACAAGAAGCAGGATAACCGAGTAAGATGCTGTCATTTCCTTAGTTAAAGTACAAAATGGCCCTGTGTCATGGTCTAACCCCAGCCAGCAACTAAGCCCCACACAGCCACTCGCTCACTCCACCCTGGTGGGATGGGGGAGAGAATTAGAAGGGTAAAAGTGAGAAAACTCATTGTTTGAAATAAAGACAGTTTAACAGGTAAAGCCAAAGCCACGCGCACAAGCGAAGCAAACCAAGGGATTCATTCCCCACTGCCCCCGGGCAGGCGGGGGCTCAGCCCTCCCCAGGGCAGCCGGGATCCATCGGGCGTAACGGTGGCTTGGGAGGGGAAACGCCATCGCTCCGAACGTCCCCCGCTTCATTCTTCTTCCCCCAGTTTTATATGCTGAGCATGACATCACATGGTATGGAATATACTTTGGGTCAGTTCGGATCAGCTACCCCAGCTCTGTCTCCTCCCAATTTTTTGTGCATCCCAGCCTACTTGCTGGTGGGGCGGTGTAAGAACCAGGAAAGACCTTGAATCTGGGTAAGCACTGCTCAGCAGTAACTGAAACATCTCTGTATTATTAACACTGTTTTCAGCACAAATCCAAAACATAGCTTCCTACAAGCTACTATGAAGAAAATTATCACAGCCAAAACCAGCACACCCTGGATAAAAAGTCCCCATATTGTCCTGTTTTTTTTCTACTGGATTTAAAAAAAAAAAAAAAAATCCAAGTAAGGAAAGCCCTTTTGAAATGGAATTTATAACTTTCTGATAACTGAATCCATGTATCTGAAATGGAAAAGCTGTCTAGCTTTTTCTTCAGTATGGTGAAGAAACAAATGTTTCACTTTATGGTGATGAACGCTTTAAAGAACACTTTCAACAGCTTGTCTCTGGAAATGGAAATCCAAACTATCAGCTTACATTAATTCAAAATTGAGCAGTTTTATTGCCCTCTGGCTTCCAAAATGTGATTGGCAGAGGCCTACACTGGGCCATACTGATTTATTCCATGTAAAGCATACACACGTTAAATATCAAACACTCAGACTGTTCAGCACAGTAACTGCTGAAGTCCATTCTTCGGCTATAGGACTCAAATGTACTTTATGTTTGAACAGTTCCTATGCAATGCAGCTTTGACTCTGCATCTGTATCCGAAGCCTCAACAGTATAAACTATTAATACAGGGTAACAGTAGTCAAGCAGTGGGTCAAAGTGTGGTTGAGAAAGTTAAAAAGCCACATGCCAGTAAGAATGCTCAGTCCCGTTTGTAACAGCTCCTAAAAGAAGTTAAAAATACAGTAATGTAAGTCACCATTTATACTACCATATTGCTTATGAGAGCACAGTCTGGAAGAGAGATGCTTATAGAAGAAAGAAGAGAGCACAAGACACCTATACTCAATATCTTATGCATTGGGGTGGAGCAGAATATTTTCTTTTCCAAAGCATGAAGACTGACTCTAAGCTCCCTACGTGGCAGGGCAGTAATGAATGAATGGGCTGTTTCCCTTTGTCCAGGAGACCCCTAACTGAGCCATTTCATTAGTCTCAGGCAACTGTCTGCTAAAATAAGCAGTCCCTGCTAAAGTTAGAGATTTAGAGTAAGGGACTTACATGACAGTGCAAATCCTGTTACTTTTTCCATATAGAAAGAAACATTTCTGCTCAGTCTCTCACAAGTGAGACCTCTTGACGGGCGCATTGCATGTTTACTTCAAGGTCAATGTCCCCATGAATCAATTCTGCAAGAACAGTACTCCTCCACTGTTCAGATGCCTCTGCCTTTATTCAGGGTTCCTAGTGTTGAAGGCCAGCTACTCAGGCACAACACAGTAAAATAAAAACAATGGCCAGTCTAGGTCAGCAGCATAAAGTGACAGAAAGCACAGACCAGAAATGGGATGTGAGCCAAGTGCAGGCCGCTCTATCTCAGATGTGCTACCAGAAAGTTCATTATCTGAATACAAGGCCGCCAATAAACAAACTTCAGAAAATAACTGACACATTGCAAACACAAGTATTGTATACGGGGCAGCTTTCAGGAAGGCCTGAACTTGACTCCCTTCCAAAATTTGCATGTTCCCTTTCCTACAGAGACTTCGAGCCGAGACATTTGGATCAACATACAATATGGCAAAACCCAGTTAGCCCAAGTAAGCCAGCCTTACCACTGAATGTAAAGAGTGAGGAAAGCAGAATTTTGTTGCACAAGCTTTGGCATCAAGAAGTATGTCAGCCTGCATGAAGACCAGAGGACAGGCCAAGAGAGATAGCACTGCCTGAATGGATCCCGAGCTGTGAGGCTCCTTGGCATCAGACAGCAAGGCTGGAGCTGCAGCATTCCTTCTCTAAGACAGCAGCACAAAAATGTTTTCATGATTCTGTCAGAGACACAAAGGACCTCAGAGATAACATAACTGAGGAAAAGATACACAAATTCTGTGGTTTCAATGCTTTTTATTTCTTTAACTGACACATTCTTTGTTCCTTTAAAAATAGAGTAACAAACAAAAAGTACCTCAATACAAACTGTCTGCTCTTTCCTAGAGAACCACAATAAATTCGAACAGTAAAGAGAAGAGCAGTTAGGGTAGTCCAGGACACGTGCAGCCTATTTGAAAAGACTACAAGAGCTTGTCTTGGTCTAGAGGCTGTGAAAACATGACTTTTATTGAGGAACACATTAGTGGGATAAACAGTGGTTATGGAAAGAGCTGGTTCATTAAAGGCCAAATGGATTCACAGATGAGCATTACAGTCTAACTGGGAATAAATTTAGGCTGGGAAACACAAGATGATTTTTAATGGTCGCGGCAGGGAGGTTCAGGAATTCAGTGGATGAGAAGAGGATCAGAAAACGGGCTGCTTCAGAACAGACCTGACCAGTTTATGAAAGGAGCTATGACATGGTTGCCAGCAACAGCTGGGGATCATCGTTACTGATCCAATAAGGCCCTTTGCAGGCCCTCACAAGCACCAAGCTTCCAGGTCAAAAGGACCCTGTGATGATCTGCAGGGTGTCAAACACCCATAAAGTCAGCACTGTTGCACACACACAGGGACAAACATGATGCTTGTGAGCTGTGGAGTCTCTTCTACACACAGCACATGCACAAAGCCTCCATGCTCTAAGGTTGATTGTGGCCTCTCCAAGCCTATATTTCTGTCAGACCCGTTATGGCTTGTATTTCAGACTCTTCTCTTAGCTTTTTTACTCATTTCCTAAGACAGAGATGTTTAAGAGAACTGGAAAGACCACAGAGACAGTATTTAAACTGCAGTGAAGACTGGTAGAGGGAGAATGGGGTTTAGCAATCCCTGTAGGGTTTTGAAGAATTTATAGAATTAAGCAGGTAAGCTACAGAAAATATGTAATCTGTTATTAGGAATTAGTCCTAGAAGGCTGCAAGCACTCCATATAGTAACTAAGGATTAATAATGGGCATTAACTTGGTGGTTATAAAAATAGTTAAGAGCAAGAGATAGGGACAGAACAGCTCTGCTGCCATGTTGTGATTACTGAGCTGTTTAGGATTCCTGAAACTGAACAAAAATCAACCAGACAAAAAAATCCCCAAATGCATTATATTTGAACATCTTAAATCACTTTTGTAAAGCCTTTTGAAAATAAGAAAGCAGCAAAGGATACTTCAGTGGAAAGCTATCTCATGGATTAGCAACTGGCTTTGCAAAAAGAAAGCAAAGAATAAGCTTAGATTGTTATTTTCTGTGTGCTGACAGATTCATATCTCTGCTACCCAGAATTCAGGAATATAGCTAATATTGGTTCAATGAGTATTTTAAGGAACTTCAGACAAGTGGGGATTAGAGAAGCAGAAACAGCACATGGGCATTCATTTGGGTTTTTTAACTGCTTAATTAAATGACAGATTATTGAGGACCTGAAGAGGGAGCAAAATTATATTGTTTTTTCATTGCAGTCTTCTAAGATGTCCCATTAAGAGATCAGATATATTCCCCTCTGCCTTCAAGCAGGCTGCCAGGATCACACACTGAATATACAGCCCAAACAGAACCATGCCTCCAGCTAGCCATTATCCACTGGACCTTCCTTTACAGGAAGAGATACTAGCAATGAATCATGGCAGCAATGTAAACCCCTAATTACTTTGTTCATGTGTGAAATCTTCATGAGGCCAGTCAGGACATAGTGCCCCAGCAGTGCACTACTCTCTGAGCAAGCATTCAGAGCACAAAGGCTCAGTGGCTACCAAGAGTATATAAGGAAAATGATGTAACAGGAGTCAGAGGGCTTCCCTTCCATTAGGAGGATACTCACTTTCTATCCCACCTTTACACATCTCAGAAACAACCAGACTTTTGGGTTTTTTAAAGCAGAGATGATTAATGCATTTATTAGCACACAAGAATAGTACAGGAGAGTATCTAGATGAGTTAGTACAAAAGTAACAGAGCGGCATAATGACAGATGAAATTTAAAAGTAAGAAGAAACATACTGAAAAGAACCGTTGAAGATAACTCAGCCACAAATGGGTTTTAAAATAGTTTTTACCTCCTGCAGGAATGATTTCAAAATAAGTGCAGACTCCTGCCTTCTGTTCTGCCTCTAGCACCATTCAGGAGAGATTAATGTTAAGCTGCAGAGAAGACAGAATATTATTTCATAATCCTTGTGTATCTTGCATTTAGTTTTGTTCAGCACATTTCATAAGTAACAAAAAGCAAAAAAAGTCTGGAAAAGAGCAACAGTTATTAAAAACAGGGGATCAGTTATGCTCTAAGAAAGGTATATGAAAACTGAACTTGTTCTTTCTGGGAAAAAAAAAAAACAAAACACAACACAACAAAACAAACCCAAACCAACCAAAAAAAAAAAAAACTCAAACCCAAACCCCCTACAGATACAAACAAACAAACAAACAAAAATCAACAAAAAACACCAAACCAAACCAAAATAAAACAAACAACAACAAAAAAACCTGTAAGCTACAACTTAGCAATGAGTACGTAACATTTATTAACTAAAAGCTTCATCAGTCATTTGTATCATGTAAGACACTGAATGAAAAAGATCTGGGACTTTTTGTTTGGTCAAATTCATCAGACAAAATAAGAAACTTAGAAAGTACACTCTAATTTACTTGTTTATTCTTCTGCTTGGAACATGATGAAGGCAAAGAGCTTAGTATAGTTGTACAAAAAGGCTTAGAGACATATCCTAGGAGCTTAAGAAAAACATCTGCAATGGTAGTAGTTTGGATTAAGCGTTCTCAGTGCTCTGAGACTTCATGCTGTAGGATAATAAGCTCACCCTGGCCAGTTTTTAGTGTCCGCAACGCATCCAGCATTGATCATTGACAGAAACAGTGTTAAACCACTAATCTGCTCTGATATTACACTTGACATGTTCCTAATGTCATATGTAAAAACAAGTGGAAAATGAAGCTGGAATATTGAAAACGGATTCTAAAACTACCAGTCAGGTGATTTTTTGGTTACAAGTGTCTTGAAAACTTGACACAACAGGCAGCAAAACTAGCATAAGATCTCTGCAGGGAGGAATCCCACCTCTCCACTGACAGAAATATCCCTGCAGCAGTGATTTCCTCTCAATGAAGACGACAGCTTGTAGCTCTAAGAATCACTAACATGTCTCGTGACTTGAGTCTGGCTTCACATTCAACAGCTCCTCCTGCTGCTAGACACAGAGCCCTCACAGCTCTGCAGATAACTGGGTATACACTTAAAAGCATTAAGCCTGTCATAGTACACTAGTTTTATTTCTATGGGAGAACAGCTAAATCTGCCAGTTTATGGCCTTATTTCTACTTACATTATAAATTACTTTTCCTTTGAAATCCTAAGGTAAGAAAAGCTTTTTTTTTAAGACTCTCATCTGAATCATGGAGCCATGTTAGTACTCTTATTTCATGGAAGCTCCCCCTGTCTGGAACTGTGTAGGCTTTAGTAGATTACATTATATTATCATATCATCACTACATAAGGAGACCCAACCACAGAAATCTCCTTACAAAAGGAGACTTAATTTGGAGCTTTTCTTGGGGCTAAGTTGATGCTTTGGAGACGAATTTGACAATATCTTCATTTAAGCTACTGCAAACGTACTTTTTACTCTAGAGCTTGGATTATTCAGAAGATAATGTCCCACCTGATCATGGAAATGAGGACAATAATCTTTGGCTCCCACAGATACACAAAGCAAATATATGATCAATATAGGCAATTGTCATCCCCTCCAAACAGGATATGGCTGAAATAAAAATCACAGTGTTGTCTGAGACAACTACACAAAGCATAAATATGCTGCAACTGGAAATTATTATAAACAGAGCTTAAAAACAAAAGTAGATTCTATGTACAAATTTAGTTTTGTCTTAAGAAGGAGCCTAATATGTAGTGACCCTTTGGAACTGCAGCATCTCTGAGACTCTGCCTTTCCAGCCCTCCACGCAGTAGCACGTTTGCCCACTCTGTCTGAGACAGTATAAAACACAGCAAGCAGCAAAGATTAGAGGCGCGCCACTCATCAGACATTTTTATTCACTCTTCAGACTATAATGTTTTCCATCTTTGTTCCTCACCTGTTTGGGTGAACAGGTTCCCATCTTCCATCCAAGTGCCCTGTAAAAGATATAATAAACATAAAGCCATCTGTATGCTGCAAATGACAGGACTTGCATCATAACAGTGTCAAAAACTAACCCTCAAAGCATGTTTGCTAGTGCATAATATTTTTGAAGGATTCTAGCATCAAGAATTTTTCAAGCCCAGCCCATGAAAGCGAATCACTCTTTTATGTTGATAAACCAGGCTTTGAAAAAAGTATGGAAGGATACACCCTTCTTCTGAACAATTTCAAAGACAAAGATTAAAAAAAAAAAAAAATGCAGGTGTTCTAAACGGCTTCACTACAATTTAGAAATCATAATGGTGCAAATTAGTCAGTCCTGTTTTGTGATAAGATTTATGATTCAGGTCATAACTCAAGCCGTATCTTAAAACCAGCTCACCCCACCGTGACTGCAGCACAAACCACGGACTCACTAACACTGGCACAGTTAGCTGGTAACTAGCAGCAGCTCAGGCTTGGCCCTCTCCCACGCGGTAAGAGGATGAAAAGAGACCGAGGCACTCACACACCTAACCCCCTATGACTTCAACACAAGACGTGGGTTCTAAGGTGTTTGTCAAAGACCATACAAGAAGTTTATCACAGAACTGAGTTCCAGTCTAGGTACCTAAGGCCATCTTTCTTCTTTTATCTACAGAGTACCTCTTAAAGAGAACTAGTTGGCTCTTTTGCCATGTTTCCTTTAGTACTGGCCTTCACGCATTTGGTTTCTTTTTCCTTCCTTCAGGACAGAATTACACAGCAATAACTCTGATTGCAAAATAACTACTGTTCCAGTGTGTAATGGTCTGAGGTAGTAAAAAAAAAAAAAAGAGGTATTTCAGGTGTAACCACAGTGAATAACTGAAAGACTAACATAGGAACCTTCTAGGCAAACCACACCAAAGCAAACAGTCTAATGAATGTTAATACATGTAGGAAAGTAATAGTGCACTGAAAATGCACCCTGAGTCATTTTAGTTTGCTCCAGCAATTCAAGCCCACAAAGCCAGAAAAGCCCTGGCTTTGTCTTCAGAATTGTCTCTGGAAGTCCCACAACATATTCTGCCCTACAGAGGAAGTCATACATGTGCGGGATTCACGCATGACATACACTATAGATGCTATATTTAGCAGAGAAGGGTAAAATTTCACTATTAGTCTGTCCTACCACAGAATGTTTCAAAAAGTAGAGCAGTGGTCACCTTGATCAACCCCTCTTCCTGCACCTTCTACTTTACTTACAGACCAGTTCTTAACACTGTTGCTCCAGATTCACACTTTGTAACACCCAAATGGGCTTAAGTAAGTCAAGTCCTCTCCGTTCGCGACAGCTCTTCTTACTGGTGAAAATGCTTCTTCTGAACTGGTATATTTTGATATTCAACAGAACCTCTGCTCCCACTAACAATACAGTATGCAGACCAACAAATACCCTGTTATTGTTTACACATTCATGAAAGGGTATTACATCGTGACTACTGGCAGTCACTCACGCAGCAGACATCTGCGTGATCAGGTGTAAGGCAGAGAAGACAACAGTTCATTTTACAGACTGATTTTTAGGATACTAATCTTTAGCGCTGAAAGCCTCACGGGTTCAATACCTTCCCTGCAAGCATTATTTCCTTATTTCAACAATTTAACGAAAACTGATTCAACTGTCTTGAATTAAGGCATGGTTTTCAAAAACAGCTTCCTGGAGAAAAATTAAAATAACATTGCTACAATGTGTCTCCACATGCATCACAAGGGTTAACCGTGAAGCTCAACACGCAATGCTCAGGATGGAGCTTACATATTTAGAAGGTAAAACCCAACAGAAATTAAAAGAGTTAAAGATGCTTGAATTCTGCATTCTGTGGGGAAAGGGAGAACCTCTGAATGGATGTCAGTGGGTATCAGTCCACATCAAGTGCTTGAAGAAGCTTAAGAATTTACACTAATTTCTTGAAGCAGCTTAAAAGGTACTTTCAGCTCCTTCTTAAAGAGACAAGATGCCAGGGGGGTCTAATCACGACTCTTGCAGTATCAGGTCACATACATCTGGATTCTAGAATCATATAAGACACAGAAGCCTTACTAAATAACAGTCCTTATAATCATGGTAAAAAGTTTACAAACAGAAGCAAAGTGCACCATGAAGGTTCAAAACCAAATGGTGACTATAAGAAACACAGAATTGTCTTTAGTTTTTAAACAAGTACCTTTCCGTTCATCCCCAGAATTCTGAGAGTCTGACATGATTTGAGATTAGAGTTGGGCAACAACCAAAGATGCCAATTTGAAGTGATTCCATTGCACGTGTATTACCTCGCTCCCCATGAAGTGTATGAATTTAGCTGTCTATTGTAAGCAAATCCTAAGTTTTATTGAGGTACGTGTACTGTCAAGAACATTACAGTGTTAATTGTTATTAGGAGCTATTTTGGATGAACCTTGTGATGAAATGTTAAAAACTGCACAAACATGCCTCTCATGCTGCAGACACCGTGAGTGCTGGAGAGCAATGCGCTCCCTCCACACCAGAACGTGAGGATTTGCTGGGTATCCTCACGAACAAGTCTGAAAAACTCTTGCCATCCTTCCCTCCCGCTTCACGCTGGCACCCTCAGACCGGTGCTGCTCCACAGGGCAACGACGGGAGCGCACTCGTGTGAGTTTCAGCACAGCATAAATGCGCATAAAAAAAAAAAAAAAAAAACAAACCACAACCCACAGTTTTTCAAACGCAAGACAGTGGGACATTGTCAGACTTCTAATGTCCGTAGTTAAGGCAAACGGTTCACCTCCCGACGATTACACAGGCCGTTTTCCACGGCTCCTCCTCCCCGCTGAGAGGGAGCGCGGGAGGGGTTGTGGGGGTCAGGCTACGTCACGGCCCGGGCCCCGCCCACCGCACCGCCCGCTCAGGTCACGGCCCGCTCGCGGCGCCGCGCGACCCTTGCTTCGCTTTCCGCTGTGCGCATGCGCTCGGGAGCCCCCTCCCGCCCCGCGTGCCTTACGTACCAGAGTTACGCCTGACGCCATTCCGCAAGCGAGGGGGAGGGGAAGGAAGTCCGGAGCCCGCCAGTCGCAACGTACCCTGCTAGCCTTCCAGCGCCGTGACGCCCGCCTTGACCGACAGTCACCGTAGCCAGTGAGACATCGACAGGTCGGCGCTTGATTGGTCGACACGCCGTGGAGGGGCGGGCCGAGTGCTGGCATAGCTTGGTTGCGGCAGCACCGGCTTACATAGGGCGAGGTACGGCGTGTCCTTGGGCCCAGACAGAGGCCGGTCGGTGCGGGCGGAGCCGGAGCCGGAGCCGGGGGCTGAGGTCGAGGTCACCGCCGCGGGCGCAGCGTTACCGGGGCGGCCGGACGGACAGCCAGGTGCGGGGGGATGGGGGGGTGGTCACCGCGGGGTCCGGCGGCACCGCCTCGCCTGGCCGCGGCCCGGGGGTGGCGCGGAGCGGCCTTGCGGGGGGAGCGGGGCCGTGCCGGGGTCCCGCCGGGGCCGCAAGGTCAGGCCCCGCGGTGCTGCGGGCCGGGCGGGGGCCGCGGGGCAGCGTTGTGCCTCCCCCCGGGGCGCTGCGCTTTTCCAGCCGGTAAGGGAAAACGTACAAACGGTCGTGCCCCTTCACACAAGACTGGAAGTAGGAAGGTTCCCTGTTACAGGTATGTAAGCTACGTAGGGAAGTCTCGCTCAATTTACCCTTCAGAAATAACCCCTGCGGTGAGGCAATTGCTTTGGCCGAGGGAAGGTTTTTGCTGCTCTTCAGGCGCGTTTGTCACCTCAGTATGCTTTACGTAGTCTAATGATTCTGTGCTAATTTTCAAACCCGGGAGCTGTAGCTTGTGGTTAGAAAGCGTGCTGGAGAATTGCTGGGTTGATGGGCCACGTGTGCCGTGTTGCAGAGGCACCGGGGTGCTTTTAAAGTTTAGGTTGAACGGGTGACCTTGAACTTGCACTACTGACCTCTCTGTGTGTTCTTGGTTTAGTACTGAAAATGGGAGATATTGAGAAGGGCAAGAAGATCTTTGTCCAGAAATGTTCCCAGTGCCATACAGTTGAAAAGGGAGGCAAACACAAGACTGGACCTAACCTGAATGGCCTGTTTGGACGCAAGACTGGACAAGCTGAGGGCTTCTCTTACACGGATGCTAATAAGAATAAAGGTAAACTGAAAGCTGCTTTTCTGAGTTTCTGGGGACAAATATATTTGGTTCTCGGTAATAGTTCTAGAAGTACTGAAATCTGCCAAAAAGTAAAATAGTATGGAGGACAGGAATATAAATGTGTGTGTTATTTTTAAGTCACTAACTGTCTTTTTTGGTTCTCTCTAGGTATCACCTGGGGTGAGGATACTCTGATGGAGTATTTGGAAAATCCAAAGAAGTATATCCCAGGAACAAAGATGATTTTTGCTGGTATTAAGAAGAAGTCTGAGAGAGCAGACTTAATAGCGTACCTCAAAGATGCCACTTCAAAGTAAAAGTTATCTGCTGCCTTATTTATTTCACAAAGGAGATGGCAATGGAAATGTCTGTGATGAGATTGGTTTTTAAAACTTTCTATTTTTACACATACTGTGTCTAACCTTAAAATCTGTCTCACCCATCAGATAACGTTGCTCATGGTGGGTCACTGGAGTACACGCTTGTTTGGCAGCCATTAACTTAATGGAAACTATGTAATTGGGTTGGTTTAAATGACTATAATGTTCAGTCAGTGTTGATCATAGGATTAAAAAATAAGTAAATAAACATTTCCTGCCTCTTCATTGCTTAAAAAAAAAAAAAATCTATAATGAAATGAGTAATTGTCAACAACATAATAGCTTTGACAACCCAACTCTTCCAGATTAAAAAGCAGGGTGGTTTCTGGCATCTTCCACCGTATATCTTCTGTTACATTACTTTAAAGTTTTAAAATAAAATTAAAAAAAAAATAAAACCCCCAAGATAATATTTTTCTAAATTTAATCAATGCTAGGTGTTGTGATATATATTAATCTGTCTATAGCTTGCAGTAAGGATGCATTTCATCTGACTTAAGTACTACCTGTGAAATGGCAGTTGTGCCCAGCCACTTTTCTTTTATCTATGGGAAGTGCATTACCTAATTCATCCAGACTTTGACAGCTGCATGCACCAGTAGAGTATAAATCCCCTTCAAAACCATAAGTTTGCTAAATGTTATTGAAACCCTTTGTTCAGTAAATCTTCCAAAACTAGCCATTCTTGGTGTAATGAATAGAACAGAAAGACATCGTGTTCTGAAAATACAAGTGCTAAAGACCAAGCTGAGTTACTCAATCTTAATTCAGCAGAAGTTTTCACGTAAAGTCTACTGTTACAGAAAATTTCAGATGAAGGGGTACAGGAATGAATGTGCTGGTAGACTAAAAGGAAACAGTCTTGCCAGTCTTCCTTGGTGCCTGGCTGTAGCCAACGTCATTAATTCTGAAAGTTCTGTTTTGCACAGTGTAAAGTGGTATTTTTAATGTTTTAACTGCATTTTTTTCATACTAAGTGAATTGTTCAGATGAATGTATTTACTGTGTACAGACAGTAAGGCGTAACTCAGAGAAATCAGTACTGTAAATTAAAAAAATTAAAAGTCTTGTTTTCTGTATGTGTCTGAAATTAAGTGAAAAATGGGGACTGTTGAGAGAAGTTGAGCGCCAGCTTTACATCATTAGGAAACAAGTGAAAGCTCAGCATGAGAAAAAGTAAATGCTCATGAAGTTGTTCTGAGAAGTATTTACAAGTGTGGCAAAGTTAGAAAGTACTTTGGACTAGAACTAGCAAAGTTAAGCTCTTTCACCAGTGTTCTCTTTAACAGCACTTCTGTGTTCCCTGAGTGGGACAGAGGAGAAAACTCAGAGCAGCTTAGCAGCTGTAGCTGTGCTCTAGGATTGGCTGAGTTTGAGTTATGTCAAGTAAAGTAGTGTGCTTAGTGACTGACTTGCAAAGGGCTATTGCTCAGAATTAGTAAGTGAAAAGAAGTAAGATTATTAACAATTCGGCTCAGTGGTTGCAACCATACATTTTGTGACTTTTTTCAAACTGAATGTGCAAGCAGCCTTTCCTGCAAATGGAAAGGCAGACTTAATATTAACCAACAGTAGCTTCCTTACTAAAAGCTTGTTAAGAGAAACCTTCCAAGTTATAGTAGTTAATGGCTGTTCTGACTTTCAGAAATGATGTTTGTCATGGCACCTTTATGGCTATGCAGAAGTTAGTTTTCACTGTGCCAAAATCCCAATAGAGCAGTCATTAAGTACAGAATGTAACCTTACCCGGCTCTGCAGTCTTCTGAAATGATTACCGTGGATTGCGTGGAGTTGTGACACTTTGTTCTGTCAGCACCTTGATGAGATGAAAAAAAGACATGATCTCCAAGCTGCTCCTCTTCCCTAGTTGAGCTGGAGAAGAGACGGACTGTAGAGAAGAGGAATTGGCAGTAAGGTGGCATTTAATTCTGGCCAGGCGACAATTTATGGTAAGTTATCTATCATCAGAAAAATTCATCCCAGAAAAGCAGAGTGATTCTTTGTCCAAAGTAAGTAGCGGACACAATTTATCTTGGTTTGTTCCATCTGTCTGTACCTGGGAGACCTTGCTACCAAGACAAGTGCAGCTTATACTTACCACTGAAGGTGGAGAATATTGAAGTTTTTAATTCTAGACTGGGGATGAATCCTTGGTTATATTTTAGGGAAAAGACCCTTCTGACCTTGAAAACTTCATCTTTTATGTATACAGCCCTAGACGACCACAGAGTGTAGGATTTGTCGTAGTAGATAACTAGCAGCCATTTATCACCAGACAAACACAGTACTATATTTCTACTAGTGGATCAGCAAAGTAGTATTGAAAGGGAAGAAGGTTAGATGATCGCTTGTTAAGATGAGCATTAATGCAAGTGCCTGGGTCGGCTTTTTGGAGAGTGGGAGGGAGGTGTCCGGATTGGTTGTGGAATCAAGCTTTAGTTCTTTGATTTCTAGTTCTGTAAAGTAGGAGGAGTGGGATTTGCTTTTGTTTTGTGAAGTAGCAAGTTGAGTGTTTTTCTTTCTGATAGTGGTATCAGTCTAGACATTCGGTATTTCAGTAGTTCCTTTACAGTTGCAAATCAGGGAATCGTGGCACCATTTCCAAAGATGACACCATCCCATAAAAATGGCTCTTGGCTGCTAGTTTACAAATTTGGTGGGGCATGCCTTTAAAACTGATCTTGTAGTATTTTCATATGTAGTTATGCAAATGCATAAAGATTATCAATGTCAATAATGACTGGAAAAAAATGCAAAATTCAGAGGTACACCTTTTCACAGTATGACTGTTCAAAACCAAAATGAAATAGGTAGGATACTTTTAAAATGATAGAAGTATTTATGCGTCCCATTGAAACTTAGTAATACAGAAACTTTTTTTTTATTTGGAGTCTAACAATTCAGGTGTAATCACTCTGCAAACACCCTAATTTCAGAAAGTTCAACTCGTAGCCATCTGTGCAATTGTAGATAATCAGTTAAAGATCTGTTCATTTTAATTAGTATAGTCTTGTATGGGATTATGTAATACTTTCCTTTTTTGGTATAAATACAGTATCAGTGATCCAAAACAAATGTGACACATTATGCTTCTCTTACAGGGGAGAACAGAAATTGAACAGCCAATAGATAAGAACTATTAGGTATTCTAGTCTCGTGTATCAAAGGCCACTGAAGGACACGCATTTAATTCTGTAGTAAGCCCTGTCATTTGCCTTTATATAAAGCACATGCTAAAGACTTCCAGGGCCAAAGCCAACAGAAGTCTGTGTTACTGCATGCAGGATGAGTTGAACTGTTTTAAACTGATGTCCTGAGAACTAGGTTATTCTGGGAGGGGAGCAGTCCAGAGCTGGCAGCAGGAAATGTTAATCCCCGGGAAGGGTGTGAAATCCTGCCCTTTTCCAGTGCTGCAGTGGCTGAGTTGGGGCTCCAGGTAGTTACTGCCATCTGCTTGTGATTCAGAGCCTGCACGTAAGTACTTGCATGTTTTTTTTCCAGGATCCTCCTGATCAGAAATACAGCAGATACGACGGTCACCTTTTAAACAGTTAGTTTCTGGTTAGAGGTCTTGCAGGGTGTGAGAGATGTGGGTGACGCATTTGCATCAGTGACAGGCACAGATTCGCATCTCCAGATTTCCAGAAGGCTGCATTAACCAGCAAACTGAACATGTGTGCTGGGAAGAAGATACTCTCTACCTCTGTGGAAGCTGTCATTTTGCAAAAGGACAGCCAGAAAGAAAATGAGCAAAGGAGGAGCTAACTATAGCATAGTGTTCAAAACGCATACCTTGGAGCAGGGGAGAAGGTGTGTTCTTTCCAGGTTGTTTATGCATTTAATTTTAAACAGGCTTGGATAAAAATAAGCCCGGCAGTGGAGGTCAGAAGTCATTACTCTGCTGGTTTTACATCTCATTAACGCTGTTCACTGCAGCTTGCTCAGGCAATGTGAGCCTCTGCCTTGTTCCTTGCAGAATCACCCACTCTCCAGATGCATCTTCCCCTTCCTTATTCTCCATGTGTTAAAAGATATTTTTGTATGTACGACTGCGCTGTCCCCATTTTACTGCACTGCCAGTCTTTTGGTCATAAGCACTCAAAAGCTGTTGATGGAAAGACTGAATAGTGTTCTTATCCTTACAGTACTCTGCAGAAATTCACTGCTGATATTCCCATTCAGTCATGACTGACTGGTGACAGTTTAAGATGTCTGATGGTTCTTAATCTATGCAACATTGCCTTTTATTGATCTTTTTTAATTCTTAATCTTTAATAAAGCTAACTAAATCAGGTAAGAGTTTTATGTGGCTTTTACCAGCAATGTATCTTGGGATTTTTCCCAAGCTGAGCTGCAGCATGATGATGTGGGCATTCCCTGTTGTGTAGTGTTTCCAGGCAAGTAGGAAAAATGTACCACACACACTGAATTTTAAAAATATTGTTGGTATTACCTACATGTAGCCTCAAGAACCTGGTGCTCTCACCCAGATTTTGTTGCAGGAACTTGCCTACACTGATGGTAACCAGCCTTTCCCTGAAAGCATTTCTAGCGTTTCTCCTACTGCTGATTCATCGTTCTGAGAACAGAGAAATGGAAATCAGGTTTCTACATATCTTACCATATTTCTGTGCTGGTTTTGGCTGGGATAGCACTAATTTTCTTCATAGTAGCTAGTATGGGGCTGTTTTGGATTTGTGCTGAAGAGAAGTGGTAATACAGAGATGTTTCAGCTGCTGCTGAGCCGTGCTTGCACAGGCTCAAGGCCTTTCCTGCTCCTCACCCCACCCCACCTGCAAGGAGGCTGGGGGGCACAAAAAATTGGGAGGGGACACAGCCAGGACAGCTGACCCCGAGTGACCCAAGGGATACCCCACACCATATGACATCATGCTCAGCATATAAAGCTGGGGAAGAGGAAGGGAGGGGGGGACGTTCGGAGCGATGGCGTTTCCCCTCCCAAGCCACCGTCACGCCCGATGGATCCCGGCTGCCCTGGGGAGGGCTGAGCCCCCGCCTGCCCGGGGGCAGTGGGGAATCAATCCCTTGGATTGCTTCACTTGTGCGCGTGGCTTTGGCTTTACCTGTTAAACTGTCTTTATTTCAAACAATGAGTTTTCTCACTTTTACCCTTCCAATTCTCTCCCCCATCCCACCAGGGTGGAGTGAGCGAGTGGCTGTGTGGGGCTTAGTTGCCAGTTGGGGTTAAGCCACAACAGTTTCTTATGAGACCTTGTCATTTTATTTCCAATTACTCTGTCACTTTACCTGCTATTCATATTAGATCTGAAGTTCTTCCCATTGCTGTTTTTAAAGGAAAGGTACCACCTTTTCAACTCCACAGATTTTTGCTGTAGTGATCGATTTTAATTCTGATTCTCGTGTACAAATTGCCATTGGTTAGCTAACCCATTTGATCTTTCTCTTACTCATTTTACCTATTACTGTTACAATTTATACTTCTTTTTTATTGGTTGAACTGCAGGCCACTTCTTGCACTTCACTATTCAAATGTACTCTTTAATTTACACATCCCTTAACTCCGTAGTAGACTGGATTTTAAAGTTTCCAGGTAATGACTTGACTTGCAAGTCCTTTTTTCATTGTCTTATTGTTTACATTTTCTTTTTTTAACTATCCTGTACACAACGGTGTTATTTCTTATACAGCACTGTTTTAGACCCAGATATTCTTATTTATTGGACAAGGATTGTGTCCTTCACAGCAATACCTAAGAAATAGTCTTTTCTTGTGAACCTCAAACACAGGCTTCCAAAAAGCAATCATGGTAAGTGCTGAGACACTTCTGTAACTGGCACCATTAGATCAGTTTCCTGCTTACACCAAATGAACAGGAGGGGGAGCCAACGTACTAAAAAGCTGCAGAAGATACGTGCACTTGAAAGTAATTTTGAACAAACCTCGGTCAGTTTGAAAGACAAAGTTCATTTGTACAAAAAGCCGTTTTACTGCAAGTGCTCAGCAAAAAGTGCAGGTGATTAGTACAGCTGAATACACTGATATGCCTGCAATAAGTTTGGGGTTTTCTGAATTCTTAAACTGATTCATGTTTCATATT